AACTTGCTGTTGTCCAGAGGTGGCAATGTCTTGGGGGCAGGTTCAGAGCTATTGGGCTAGAATTAATGCTTAAATTCTTAAGCAAGAAATTTATTTTTCCTATTTTGACCTGTGCAACGTTCACTTCAGTGCTTCATTTACATTTCACTGCTTACAGGTATATATATACATACAACATCTGTCTTGGTGTACTTTTTATGGTATGGATCTCTGTCCTTCCATACATAGTATAGCTTCCATAAGGTATGAAATGGCATGCATGGATCCGGAGAACCTTAAATGGACAAGGAAACAAACAAAAAATGGAAATGACTTAGATCATGGATAAAGGAAGAGAAAAGAAAATCTCAGACATATTTTCAACTTAAAACATAGATTTGAATAACCAAATTTTAAAACTTGTTGATGTCCTTAAAAGATTTACAATCCATTTACTTTCTTTGACACACCCTTTTAGGAATAGTCACTATTTTTACTTAAAATACAACCTCCTGTTTGACAGAGTATGTAATAGAGTTAATCATCTAAATGTCTAATGATTTTTCTGTAGTAAGAATGCTGAATCATAGAGACACTTTAATTGCATCTAGTCCTTTTTCCTCTCTATCATAAAACGTTACTGTTGGAAATAATTACATGAATTCTCTTTTCTTCTTTTTGGCCTGCATTTCTTTCAGTAATGCTGTATATCTTTAGCAAAGATTTTTCATCGCTATATTTGTAATCAGGTTCTTCTTATATCAAATTTGGATTCCCTGCTTTTTTTTCTTTTTCTTTTTAAAGAAAAGCTTCCTTAAAAACGAAATGCAGCTTGGAATATCCCAGCTTTGCCAAATCCCAGATTTTTGTGCCCAGTTTAATGGGATGGCTAAATTGTAGCCACACCACTTCTGAGCAAACTGGCAAAAAGCAAGGTAGTTAAGCATCTTGCTGTGCGTGAGCAGTTAGAGGGCAGGCAGGCACCGTGCACCTTGACCACCTATTATGAAGCTTTTTGCTGCAATGTCAAGTGAAAGCAAGTTAATTGGGTGAAGCTGTAGAGCATGTTAGGGGCATGGTAAAGGGATGCTGTCTGACAGCTGAATGTCAGCAAAAGCTACTCAAGTGTGGCTGAGAGACAGAGACCTGTCACAAAGTTCACGCGGGCTGCAGCACAGTTAGGGAGCTGAAATGTGGTTCGGTCTCACTTTCTCCCTCATTGCATTCAAGCACCTTAAGATTTCACACTGTATGTGTCAACCCTTGTTCTCTAAGCTGTTTTCTCCTAACCCTTCTGAATTCAAATGATTGGACAAAAAGATGCTAATGTTTGGCAAAGTGAATGTAAATATAGTCTTTCTCTCTCTCTCCCCCCCCCTCCCCTCGCTCTTTCTGCCAGAGCATGGATCTGCATTGGGCTGCAGGACTCTGACAAAAATTAGATTACTGAAAGCTCCATAGATGGGGTGGGTAGAGGAGTTCCAGTCTTGCAATTAAAATGGCTGAGTAAGCAGCATTTTTGTCCATGCAAGGAAACTTTTTCTGTATGGGCCTCCAAGAAGCCTATCGCAGAGGTTGTGCAAACATGCCATTTCTGTTCATGTAATCATTTTATTTCTCTTAATTGACACCCAGTCACCCCTGCCCTCCAGTAATGGAATTTAAGGGAACAGTTAGAGATGCAGCTACCTGTAAAACAGTGGAAAGCTATGGGAAATTACCCACATTAGAAGGAAGTTTGCTTGGGTTCAGGGCCACCTCGGTTAGATAGAAAATGAGCCATGGTGTAGCAGAAACAAAATAGCTAACTCAAATAGACAATGTAAAAGGGGAAGCGGGAAATGACATTTGTCTTCTCAGCTTAATGTTTAATACTTAATTTCTTTAATTTCTTACTACTTACTTAATACATTCTAGAATTTATGAGAGTGATGCCCAACAAATTAAAATGCAAACACAATTACAATAACAGCAGAAACATCCATAAAAGAGCAGCTGAAATGGATTTGTTAGTTAGGCAATGTTTGTTCTAAAAGTGTTCAGCAAACACAGAAAGTAAAGGATCGTAAATGCATGCATGGTATCATGTGGAAAGGCCTTGCATGAGGTAGGAGCTGCTGCACTAAACACCTGCTCCAGGGGGGCTCAGGGGGCTCTCCTCTTTAGAAAGCCACCCTCTATGAGTAGAGGAGAATGAAGATGGAGATAGTACTTCTCCTCATGTGTTAAGTGTGCTCTGTCTCTCATGTGTGTGCACATGCATGCGTCCCAGATGGGTCCCAGATGGAAATGTCCAAGTGAATATGAAATCAGTCAACCTCAGATGGAGCACAGGTGGCATTTTAATAAGTCTAGTGGCACCTTTCAGACACCAGTTCCTGCCTTCATCTATTCTGTCTTCCTGCTGTCACCTTGGGTCCCAAGGGTCACCACTCGGCTAGTCCTGATCCTTGCCAGGACAAGGGAATGACAGGAGAAAGGAAGGAAAAGTCCCGTCTTCCCACTGCAGCCATCTTCACGTGCAGATAGATAAAGGGAAGGGCAGGAAGGGTACTTTTGAGCTGATGGTGGGAACAGCCAAGAAGCCTTCCCCAGGCCAGCTATTGAGGGCCTCTGGGTTTCTAAACTTTTCCATTCAGGTAGCCTTTTAAAGATCCCTAGGGATTTTTTGCAAACCAGGCTGAGACAAGTTTCCCCAGCATTAAGGTACCACAAGAAGGCTGTTTTGCCTGCAGCAAACACACTGAGCCACCCCTCCGGAAACTACCAGAAACACAACTGTCTAGGGTTCTTGTTTCAAGCAAATAACATTCCTGGAAACATGCACCCTCACATTTTTGCCACTGTGATTATTGTTGGGGTACCTGGACAGTCAGTGTCGGTGTGCCATTTTTGCAAAAACTTGCCAAAGAGGGGGTGGAGAGCAGTGATGCTGGCACACATCTAGACACACATTCCTGTGAGTTATGCCAAACTTCCAGGGACACCCTCCCCCATTTGCTTCAAATACATAAAACAGATTAGGATCAAAAAAGTTCAGGTTATTAGCAGCGAAAGCTTTTCCAACATCAGTCAAGGCTACTGTAGCAATCTGATTTCCATTCCATTTCTTGGATGATATTCTACCCAGCTTCCTATGAGGTACAGCCTGGGCCTGAAAACTGAAACAGACCTGGCCGCCCCCTCCCCCCATCGCCGCCAAACACTGAAGCCTTTTCCTGTAACAGTCTATTGACTAGCTGCCAATCATTAAGTTTCATACTTTTTGTGCAGCTCTCCAAGGAAACCTGATTTTTTTCACCCCCTTGCTTGGGTTTTTGAGGTTGTTTTCTTTTTTAGAGATGGATAGATTTTGAGGACAAGAAAATATGAAGAATGTACATGCTTTTTAGCAGAAATGATAAACTTGTTTCTTTGAACTGGGGGAGGGGGGATTATTGCTAACAAATATGTAAAACAAGCTGTCCTTTACAATCAAGTGTTTTATTAACTACATTTATTTAGACAAGACATTTCTCTTTAAAATGACAGCTAATCCTTGTTTTGGAGGCAGAATTTAAAATACAGCCAACATTTTCACGTAGGATCATACTTCTCTGTTTGAAATAAGCTAGGAAAATCATGATTTGCATTGTCTTTGTGAGGCTGTATGTAAATATTCTGATAATTAAAGCTTGCCAATTAAAATAATAGATGTATGAAACTGCTAGTACTTGAAATCAATGTAGATATTAATGAATACAGCAAAGTTTTATTATTATCTAGGCTACAATATGTTGAGTGTAGTGAGACTAAAATCTAGTAGTGTTGAAGGTTTATGGTCTGCTATCGAGCTCATCTTCACAATCCGAACCCTTTGTCAAATTGGAAGAATGACTACTTTTTAAATATCTCTTTGGAGCAAGCATTTGAACTTACTACCATATTGGTGGTTCTTAAAGGTCCATCTTTTCAGCCTGCTACAAGATAGCTTTGTGTTGTATCAAGAAATCAAAGCGCCAACATCAAAGAAAATTGCTGAACTAGGTGTTAGATGCAGCCATTGATTTTCTTCTTCTTCTCCCCAGTAGCAGTAATGGGGGTGAGGGGGAGGGAAGCACTAAAGAAGCCTGAAACATACGGTAGCAGCATTCCAGCCCTCCCTTGCAGCAGCTTTAACTCTTTTAGCTACCCTTATGGGTGCTTAAAGTTCCCCAAATGCACGGCATAGCATTCTGACGCAAGGGGTTAAAGTAGCACATAAGCCTACAGTGAATCCCATTTTGCAGGAAGTTGCGTTTGCTAGCTTTCATGATGTTGGTAGGGTGTGCATATGTGCTCATGTGTGAATATGCATTTTAAGGGTACAGGGCCAAGCTATGCATTCATACCTGCTGTAGAATTTTTAGTTGGTTTTGTCTGAATTTCTAGATTTTGTTAAGCAGGGATTCTATTTCCAGATCACATCTCTTAGTGTGAATAAGCCCTTATGTTTGCACCATTCTGCCCTGTTCTGGTGAAAGGTAGTTAATTGTCATCTTTAAGTTCTTCCATATAGAAAATGAGATGAACAGATTGGCACTGGAGAAGATTTAAAGGTCAGGATACACACATTCCTGTTGTTAAGCATTTTGTGAAAATAGTATAAGCTTTTCAGTGTTAGCTCTAGGATTTGGTTTAAAATGTGAGAAATCGCACGATCAGATTTTTAGGTGATCATACACTTCTCTAAAAGAAGCTGTTGCCCCTCAGTTCAAATGTGAAACTGAGAATGGTGCTCAAAACTATATCCTTAGAAGTTTCTTAAGGTAAAACAGATAACTCTGATTTTAGAAGTTATTGTTAATGGGTGAAATCCATATATAGACGTAATCCTGTTTAAATTGATGGGCCTTAAGCTTTCTTAGCTGCATTGAGTTCCAGCAAATATTGCGGTAAGAACATAAGCATATTGGACATTATTTCTGCCGTTTTTTTAAATTAGTTAACCCATGGCTAAAGTGTGTTTTATTTTTTCCTTGTTTTTATTTTTTTTCTTTCAGGAGTCACAAAATGCGGCAAGCATCGCTCCAGCTTCCAGATCGTTATTTGAGCTAGACCAGAGTCACATCCCAAATTTTTTGCCACTGAAGGCTGAGTCAGATTATGATTTGCCTTTCTCCTTTGTACACAACAGACCACACTCACAAGCTTCTTCATCCTATTCCTCACCCCTAAAAATCACACCCAGCTCCAAACGAACAATGCAGAATGGGTGTTAAGGTTTGATACTTTTGTAATCATTTTTTTAAAAACTAATTAAAATCCTATTTTATTAGGATGTTTTATCCTTTGAATAGTCCCTATGGATTTCTATGTCATTAATTTTGCATTATTCACTGCAGGGATTCAAGGTGTGTGTGTGTGTTTGTTTGTGTAAGGGTGCCTGTTCATACATGCCTGCACTTCACATTCTCAGCATAGTGAAACAGTCCATTAAAAAAAGTTTTTATTTATCATGGTAGCTCATTTTTATGTAATATATTTTTAAATGTTAAGGAATGACACATTTTGGGTAATTTTCCTCAGACTTTTTAAAAAAATCAATAAGCCATTTTAGTCTCTATCTATCAAAGTTGTTTCATACTTGTCTATTTTAAAACAGGGCTGCAATACTTTAATAGGATTGAGAGAGCTATTTGAAATGTATGCCAATGATTCCTGTCATTTCATGGCAGCCCTGCCATGGTTCACTGAGCCCCCTCTTCTCTCTTGTCAGCTCGACTGAAGACAAGCCTTTAGTTGCAAACTTTAAGCAGGTTGTGCAAAACAGAAATGATGTGACTGCTTCTCCTCCTGCACAATAATGTCACTCCTGGTCAATGTGAGAAGGTCAGGTTGCTCCTTGTAAAGCTACATGATACCACTTGCCCATTTGAACAAGTTAAGTGTGGAATCCTGTCCCTGCAGGCATTGCAAACTCATCCTTTTATCAGGTCTGTGTTTGATAAGGAAGTAGAAACAATTGTGTAGGGAGGATTTTTAGATGATATGTTTATGTACTTTTATAAGGGCAGTTCCCAAACCAGGGTTGCAGGTAATAAATTTAGTCTGAGCTGCAAGACTTTAAAGTAATGGCTGTTTTGACCTTCAAAATAGGCTCCTTTTTGTTGTTGTTGTTGGTAGGACCCAAGAGTGACGCCCATCTTTGATGCTGACAGAATTTAAAGCAAGGCCATTGCCCTGCATTTTCTGCCTTGTAGCACACAAAAGTAAAATTGTATGTCAGGCCGAGATGTCGGGGAGCTGACAAGATGCCCCAGTGACATTTCAGCTGGAAAGAGCAAGTGTCTTGCAACCAAGTGGTCAAATATCAAATAATAGGTCAAGCAGGAAGGAGCTGAGTTCTAACCACAAAGAGGTTTCTGGTAACTTACTTGACAAGCTTTTGGGCGCTTTGTGGCTTGACAAAGTGATGTTCTGTTGGGTATCACTAGACAGACTGTTCTTTATCGCCTTCAGAAGATCAGACATTGACATTGATTAAACTCTTTAACCCTTAAAGGTTAAATCCTGGCTGTATGCGTCATTGTGAGTAAAGAACAAAAGAAAATGTGTAATATATACCATTTGTTATGGTATTAATCACCCCAACTCCCCAGCGCCATTAACATTTGATGTGTGATGTAGTTTTTGACAGGGATATTGAATGCAAAATCTATATGTTAGATTGCTTCTCATTATGGATCAGGGATACATTAGAAAAATAACATTGTGCTTTATGGAATTTGTAATTTCTCGTGCTTTGATAAGAGCAGCATTTGATTCTCTGGGTCCTGACTACCAACATTTATCTTTGTTCTTTTGCCCTAGAAGGTAAAATTTGCATATGTAATGCATCTACCAGTGTAAGTAAAATCATGCAAATTTCCAAGAAATGTACTCATACACCACTCTGTAGGACTTTGTAAAATTTCAAGTACTTTTTATTTCTGGTCTACAAAAATGGTTTCATGTGTGCAACTTACTCATTTTAAAATGAACAAGTGGGTTTTTAAAAAGTCTTTCTTTGTGGTGTGTTTTCTCAAGATTATTTAAGCCAAAGGTGTAGAATTCGTTTCCATTTCTCCTAAAATCAACTGTTGCTACCAAAAAAGAATGAAGACAAAAATATTGTGCATTTATTTCAAAAATGGCTCAGTAGGTATGCCTTTCTTTGTTTTCTTCAAAATAAACACGTGAGGTCCAGTTAGAATCCATATGAACCAGTCTTTGCTATTTAAATTGCATTTGCTTTGCAATGCCAAAAACATCACCATTCCCCACAAGATGTTTGGAGATAGAGTTCAGTTTTAAGACTTGCTTGTCCCTGCTGTACATGATTAGAAAACACTATGCAAAATTGAATGTGCCAACTCACCACTAACACTTGATGCACCTGCATGTATACATTTAGATAGATTGGCTACCCGAACATGTTTGTAGCATTGCAAATAGATGCATACATCCAGATGTTTAGGGTTAGGATGTGGTATTTAGGTTTTTTTAAAAACAAATTTGTTGCTCCCGGTATTCAAGTCATCACTGAGGAGAACACCCAGAACACCCAAAAGATTGCTTCATCTTCTCAATGACATTGAGCAAGCTTAACAATTTGCCATTCATTAAAAATGAATATCATTATTTCTGTGTTCATTTGTTTATGTATTTATTGACACAGTTTATATCTTGTACCTTCAACATGAATTATATATATTGCAAAGATGGCTTATAGAGCAATATGAAACAATACAAGTTCAAATGAAATAGAACTATTGAATGAAATAAAGCACACCAAGTAATAGAACAAAGTAAGAACAGCAGTGGTCTAATTCAAATAAAGTTTAATATTGAAACTACCGTAACCATTCAAATAGCAGTACTCAAAAACCTAGAAAAATACTTCAGCCTGGTTCTAATCATGAGGGTGCTAGGCAGACCTCTCATTCCCATGAAAAGTATGCTCTGTCTGGTTGCTACCCACAAAACCTCAGACATTGAAGGGTACCTTGCGAAAAGCCTAATTCAATGAAGCAGGGGCAGATGCAAAAGAAGATTGTCCTACAGTATTTGCAACCCAAACCATGCATGGCTTCAAAGCTCCAACTTGCACTTTGAATTCAGCTGGGAAACTAGAAGCCAAAGGAGTTCTTTCATTACTGGCAAAATACAGTCTCTGCATGATCCCTGTGACTAGTCTGGCGGCCATGTTCTGGATTAGCCATAATTTCTACACTATCTTCGGTGGCAGCTCCACATAAAGAACATGGAAATAATCCAGCCTGGAAATTAAAAGGATGTAGATAACGCTAGCCATGCAATCTGTCTCCAAAAGAGGTTACAGTTAGCATATTTTATGCTCCTAATTTTAGAAATTTATTTGGGGTACAGATGAATGCCCCTCCCAACTAATTAAAGCAAGAATACCAAAGAAGAAACAAAACACAAATGGCCAAGACAAAGAATGACAGAGAATAAAACATCTTTTCAATAAAGTTGAAATATTTGGTAGGGCTTGAATTTGAGACAAGTAGCCCACATATTCCAAAAAGGGATTCCAAATAGCACAAAACATTTGGAGCTTGGGCTGCCCCTTTGCTGTTTTCAATTGATATTTCTTGTTTTTTGTGATGTGCCTGCTCTTCCCTGCCCTTTATACTGAAAAAACGGCAGTCAAGGTATCTTATCATCATAGAAAACTTCATTAAAACACCAGTAAATTCACAGAAGCACAATTAAAAATCCAACAATAACAGAAGAAAAACAGCATCCATCCCAACAGCCTGCTCCCACAACCAAGGCCTGCTGGAATAAAAATGTCTTTGCTTGCCAAAGAGGAAGCTACTCTAGCCTCTTTTGGGAAGGAGTTCCACAACTTAGTAAGTGTCACTGAGAAGGTCCTCTGTACTAACCTCAGAAGGCAGTGGTACTAAGAGATGGGCCTTTTCTGAAATGCTTAAGACCTAGGCAGGCTCATATGGGAGAAAGTAGTCTTTTGGTTGGCCCCAATCCCAAGCCATAATGGACTTGGAGAGGTCATAACCAACACTTGGAATTGCAATCAGAAACAGAATGGTAGCAATTAAAGTTACTGTAAGAAGGGAAAAATGTACTTCTTGTACCTAGTCCCATTCAGCGGTTTTCAAAGGCAGCCCCATACAGTAGTCCAAGTAAGATAAAAGGAATGTCAGACTGTGGCCTGATCAAATGGAATGGACACAGGTGATGCATTAGCTTCAACTGTACAAGAGCATGTCAGGCCACTGCTGAGATGTGGCCATCCTGGTTCAGGTCTGAGTCCACAAGTACATACAGACCGTGCACCTGGCTATTCTGGGAAAGTATAACCCTGCCCCCAGCACAGGTTGATTCTCTGATCTACCTTTTGACTGGCCTGAAGCACCTCTGCAATGTCTGGATTAAATTTCAGCTTATTTGCCCTCATTCAGTCAATTTCCAGCATTAGGCACCAATTTAATCAGAACAGCTTCCTTGGATTTAAATGGAAAGGTTAGAGATGGGTGTCATCAGCATGCTGGAGCATCAAACTCCCCAAAGCTGGACAATCTCTCCATGTGGTTTCATGTATATGTTAAATATCAGAGGGAAATAAACAGAACCTGGAGGAAACCACAAAACAATGGCCATGTGTAGAATATGAACCCCACAGCAAAACCTTCTGAGATTGCCCTTTCCATGAAGAACTGGAGCCACCATATAGCAATGCCTCCAAGGCCCAACTCAGACTGACACTTCAGAAGGGTACTGTGTTTATTGGTCCTCAAAACTGCTGAAAAGTCCATCTGACTCAACAAGGACAGGCTTCCCACTGTCCAGTTCCTGGAGTAGATTGTCCACCAAGGCAAGCAAAGCCAATTATGTTCCATAACCAGCCCTGAAGCCAGATTGAAATGATATGTGAATTACTCAATTATTTAGAGCTTTTATTGGCACATAAGCCAAACATTATGGCAAGACTTTGACAGGCCTTTCCAGTGAGTTGTAGTTGTTGCTCTTGCTGCTCTCGGCAGACAGAGAATCAGATCTATATGCAAAATATCCTATAAACCTGCTGGGAATGTCCAAGACTGTGAGTAACAGGATCTTATGTGTATGTCTTGTAATTTTTTTTTAAATCTGTAAATATCCAATCCCAAAAGTCTCTTACACAGAAGTAGATACATTTCCACATAAGTGGTAGAACCATGCATGCATGAAGTTGCCTCTACTTGGCATCTTTTCCAACATTTACTGGAATTCATATTTTCTGTGCATTCCGTGGGTTCATATGTCACCATAATGCTATTTTCATGTTTCT